CAATAAATTTCAGAAGCTAATAGTATGGCAAGCATATTTGCAAATATTGAACAAATTTGCACGTAAAGATTAATACAAAATAAGATCTTTATAAAGTGTTACTTTCATTAGTTGAAGTTAATTTACACAGTCTTCGATATTACTTACCAATTTATAATTTAATTTACATTTTAAAACTTAACTTACCATTTTGTACATATTTACTATTTATTTTGAGTCTGCGATCAATTTATTTTTATTTTTCACCTCTTCAAGCGCTCTTTATTTAGATATTCTCTTAATTTTGAATTTTGTAATGTAACTTTGGTTGACACCTGTACTTTTATTTCTAGTTTCTAACTCAGAATATGCCATCATTTATTCGTTTTTATAGTATATATTTTGACTTTTCCTCTATATTCATTCACTAATCTTAGCTAGTGAAAGAAGATTTATTTTTCTCGAATATACGTCATATTGCCTCAAACTGGTTTGAGAAAAGGTCTGATTATTTAGAGTTGAGCTCCGAGAGTTACCTATAGGAGCAATTTATTCCATTACATTATACTTTCTAAAATTAACCAATAAAACCAACCACTATTTTCATCGATAGTAAGAGTCGTATAATTGATTAGAAACTACTTAAAAATAAAGCGTAGGACATCCTAAATAGCAGTTTCTAAGGGCAAATATTATCTGGATAAATTCAGTAATTAAAAAGAAAAACATTTAGAATCAATCAGTAAAATATTGTTTAAGGTATATATAAAAATTCACACCAGTTGCGGATTGCTTGCAAGATTTCAATTTACCCCTAAATATTCCTGAAGTACTTGCAGAGGAGGCGCCCAGACATTGCGAATGAAAAATGACAAAATTGATCATGGCCAGTAGGATGCGATCGCAAGTCACCACCTCATAGACATCTGAAAATAAAAAGAATAGCCTCAGGAGAAACCTATCATTCTTTCTATATTCTCTAGTATTCACAAGGCCTACTGAACTTTCAATAGTTTAGTAAGGTTTGGTCGCTTAAATTGATGTGACGACTGATAGTGGAACACCTCATGATCAAATTAACAGAAAACCCCAGTAGCCATTGAAGTTTGGGGGCAATATTAAATGAAATTCAATGGTATCATGATGATCTCTTACCGGTTCATTGTGGGGATGCGACCAACAGTCCTTACGCCACTTGAAATGGACTACGATTTCTCGAGTACTTATATAGAAAAACCTAGTGGGAATAAGAGTATTGACAATAAAAAGGAAAACTAAGTGTGAAGCCTATCAAAATAAAATTTTGCTATTGTAAAAGTTTCGAAATGAAAGAAAAATTATAAGCCAGTGACTGAAAGTTCTTCATATTACACTATGAACATTAGCAGGATTAAATAGTCTTAGAATCTAAAAATAAGTGGAAATTGGATTGAAAAATCTCAAGATAATCTATGTAAAAAGACCTTGGTTTGCAGAATATCTTGGTTTACAATTATTGAACTCATTTATATGTCAAGTGCTAGTGAGCGAAGATATTTAAAGGTCTTATAATAAAGTGATGGACTTGAGGAAACAGTAGTGGGTCGTCTAGAGCAAGGAGGGGACTCAAATAGTCTTTTGTTAGTCATGGTTTTGAGAGCGATACCGCTTTATAAATGCTTTAGTTTACTATATCTCTCTTTCGTTAACCCGTACACACACAGAGACAGACTAAAAACTCACCAAATTAAATATACGTGTGTCTGACAGGTGAAGGCTAGAAAAAGGTGTGATGGAGTGAGTAAATGTTCATGAACGAAGTTGGGTTGATTCCTGTTCTAACTACTTTAGGTCATAACTGCTGGTTGTATGCATACAGGAGCAGGAAGGCATATTGACACACACATGATTGAAAAATGAATTAAATCTACCAATTCACTGTATACTCTATTGAAATGCATATTTTGGGGATATAAAAACTGAATGTAGGGTTAAGCCCTTTAGTTTTCTTGGCTTGTTATCTTATATAAGGAGGTAAGAAGGATACCCTGCTCTGATGATATCCATCATATGATTAATAAAAATTTTATCCGGAAATCAAGGATAATTACGAAAGGAATCAGCTTTGGTCACCTGTTGGGTTAACCATTCAAATGCCACATTTACCCTCAAAATGGAGGGGAGCTAAAGATTGCCAAGATAAAATATTTGTATGCAGATGGGAAAATAAAATAAACTAAAAGAAAAAAATATAAAATAAATTTAGGTAAGCATATAAAGGTGATAAGAGTCCAAATACGTATCAGCCCTCAATATTTTCCCCACATTTCCGACTATAATTCCGATGAAACCTCTAGGAATGTATAAAGTTCAAGGCCCGATGCTGGAAACCATCAGGAATACTATGACAGAGGACTCCAGACAAGATGTGTCCATCTAGGTCCCTCTGACCAAGTTTCGAAAATGATATCAAACCACTTTTCTCAACATAGCTTTCCTTATCCATGAGGATCACTCCTTACCCTCATTACTATTTAATCATTTTGCTTAAATTTCTTATGATGGTATTAAAACTTCTGCTAAATAGCTATCAATAAAAAAACGATGTGTAACTCAATATCATTAATATTCTCCTATAAGAACCCATTTTTTAAACCTATATAATCAAATTATTTTTCTTTCCTGAAGCTTTTTATATCTTACGGAGTGATGATAAAACCCTTGGAAAGGACTATATCATTGTAAACATCTAAAGGTGTTCTAGAAAGATTAAACACATTTACCTTGTCTAGATATTATCTAATCATATTTTCTTGATTTTATCTATAAAGACAATTTCTTAAATTTGTTAACGTTTTTATTTCTTACCTGCTAAAAGACTCTATTATACAACTTATCTGCCAATGACTAGAGCTTAATAAATCCTTGTAAATTAAGAGCTTCAAACAGGATTTGCCTGAGTCTTATCTTAATTCCAATTAATTAATGCCATTTTGGAGTGAATTCCTCAAGAATAATATTCACCAACTCAGGACCCACAAGATCCGTATTACACATAGAGGATAAATTTGATTTAGTAATAATATATATTCTAATTTCAAAACCTAATTTGAGAATTTTTCATTGGAATCTTGGCATGGGATAATCTAAATTGCTGAGCCTACTTCCATTTTAAGTGAAAAGGTTTTCTGAAGAGATTCAAAGATTGATTCTTCGCATAGGATAACCTTAACCAGTTTTAGCTCGTATTTACAGTCTTCATTTGCACTATTTATGGCATAGGCTGTTTGACTACTGACCAGTCAGAATTTGGTCCGCTTCGCTGGCCTTGTTTACTTTAGCCAACCGTTCCCCAATCGGCCATCGAACAGGGAAAAGTGCTCTTCCACCAGTGTAGCAAAGAAGACGAGTGACCACGACCAGAGCATGCACAACTGTGGCGTAGAAGAGTTGGCCGGTCGAGTAGACACCGAGGGTTGCAGGTGTGATGCGATCACTACTGATGGTAGAAGTCTTGGTGTCCTCAACGCTTCTATTGTCGCCACACCGAACATATTCGGCGTCAATTTTTTTGGTAGAAGAGGACCCAATTGGTGGATCAGAGAAGAGAGGGCATGACTGATTTCCTGGTGTAGTAGTCACAGAGTCGGCCACAACCGAACCTGGAGGTAATGGTTTCAGAAATATGAGCTTGAAAGCGGAAAGAGAATATCGTATGATCAATAAACTATTATATAAGGTCTATTCATCCTATTATGTTCAAATTAATGAAGGACTAGTGGTTAAAATTTTCAAAAATTATATAAGTAACAATTAAGTTTTCATTGAATTTCGCATAACCTTGCTTCATAAATGGTATTCTCATACAGGTATTTTCATGCAGAGTTGTGTTTATCCTATTTCGTTTAAAGTGATGAAGGATTGGTAGCCGATTTTACCCACAATGATATGGGTAGAGCTGATGTTTCCATTAAATTTCACAGAGCTTTACTTTACCAAAAGGTGTTATCATCCAGGATGGACCGTAGTTTCGTCCTCGCATAGGTCTTAGCAACACCATAAGCGGAAGTCGAACCATGGCAGTGCAGCATGTAAGCTCTATACGTTAACGACTACGCCATATTGCAACGAAAGCCCTTGGGTTTCAGGGCAGATTTTAATTTCAAGGTATGCCAAACATTTTCTATATCATATTCTGTGTTTGGATTATCGATGAAGCAAACTTATATTTGCCATAACAATCGACGGCATCATTTTTTTCCTGAGTTGGCTATCGAGACTACCAGTAAATCAGCTATATGAGTTATGTGAAATTCATTGGAAACATCAGCTATACTCATATAATTTTGGAAAAATCCAACTACCAGTCCTTCATCATCTTAAACAACCCATATATATGATTTACTGGTAGTCTCGAAAACCTACTCATTTACGAAAAAGTAATGTCTTCGATTGTTATAGAAAATATAAGTTTGTTTCGTCAACAATCCCAACAGAATGTGAAATGGAAAATGCCTGGCATTCCTTTAAATTAACATCTGCCCTGTGACCCAAGGGCACTCGTGGCAATGTGGCGTAGTGGTTAACGTGTCGAGCCTATGCGCTGCGCTGTCATGGTTCGACTCCCGCATGGGGTGTTGATAAGACC